GTAATAACCAATCAGAAGTGAGCTCAGGGAACCAATAGAATTCTAGGTTTAGAGGCAAAACGTCTGAGATAAAGCCTCTGGGCCAGAGAACCGGACGCTAGTGGGAGGAGAGCAGCAGCCCTGTCTGGGGGTCCTGCCAGTCTTTTTATGGGGCTTCCCGCCTCAAAAGAAAAAAAAAGTTATGAAGCCACAGGATAGAGAAAATGTGGGAAACTAGGAAAGATGCCAACACGTTCCTGGAGGATGGAAAGCTGATGAAAGAGTGGCGACTGACTCACCGGAGAGGGGGAAGCTACGCCGTCAGTGTCAGCAGAGAAGGGCGCTGAGAAGCAAGCAGCAGCCTGAGGGCTCCAGAAGGGCAGCATGCTGAGTCAGGCTGTGGGTTCAGTTCTGTGTAGGTTCAGTTAGAGCCCCAGGCACCTCCTGACCTTGAAGAGAAGTGATAACCAGAGTTGGCCCTTCTAACAATCCCACCTTCATTCTTTAGAAATTGAACCTGGAGAGGCCCAGGCCACGAGGATATCATACACTGCAGATCAGAGACACAGATAAAATACACACACAGAGATCAATGACGTGTCTTTCCTTCCACTACCATCCCCTGCCCATCTTCTAGATGCTGACAGCCGGGGCCTAACCCCCTGCGGAAGAGGTGGCTTCTTCTCTGGGGAAACTGAACAGGAAATGCATACAGATCCTGATGTCTGAGGACCCCACTAAGCTTTGGAAGTTGGTAAGCCTGGCTTCTCATCACTACTATTTTCTTTATTTCTTTTAAATTAATTATTTAGTTTTTAAACTTACCTTGTCTAAACTCAAACTGCAAACTCCGTCTCCCCTGTGGTGGGCAGCAGCTGACAGCTCAGTTCTAGATTTTAGCCTTAGCTGAGCTGCTTAAATTCGGCCTGGTATACACGGTGGTTTAGGGGGAGTCAGAGATGGGGTGGAAGTTTATATACAGAATTGGGGGTTCCCCTTTCTGACTCTCCTTTCAGGATTGCCCCTCACTTTGCTGTTGCCCAGGGCTTTGATTATTCAAGCCAGTAAGTCTGTGGGTTTCTCTGAGTATTTTGACCCTCGGTGTGGTACAGACTGGGGCTTTTTCTCAGGCCAGAAGCAGTAACAGAATGAGAAATGATCCGTTCTGCCCAATGTCAACGCTTCTCCAGTATCTGGCTACTTTTGGTCTCTCTAGTGCCTTTAGGTGGTGGTTTGTTACATATTGTTCAGTGTTTACAGCAGTCTTCTGGAGGAGTGTTGGTCTGATAAGACCTGACGGGAAGTATTTTTTGGTAGTTATTACTGTTTGGTAATTTATTCTCCTATCACCTTTCTCCACCTTTTAAAATATGAATTATCAGCTAAGGGTCAGCAGAAGTTTGAGGAAAGAATCTAGTATAAAAGACAGAGAAACAAAACAAAATCAAAAAAAATGAAGGAAAGGTTAGGGAAGTGTTGCTCAGAGGAAACAGAGATGCCTCCCAGAACAGAACAAAATTTAAAAATAAATCCTCCACAATAATTCTTAGAAAGACAAAAATATTTCACCTGCAAAACAAAAGCAGGCTACTGTTTAAAAAAAGAATCCAAGAGCAAGAAGGATGTTAGAAATTAAAAAACAGAATTACAGAAATATTCAATAGCGGGAGATAGCTCCCATAAAGTAAAACAAAAAGACAGACAATAAAAAGAAAAGACCATTAGAGAATCAATCTAACAAGGCCAATATCTGACTAATAGAAGATCTAGAAAGGGAGAATAGAGAAGATGGAGGGAAGGATATTATCAAAGAATTAATACAAGAAAATTACCCTGAACCGAGGCTCACGAGTATCTAGAGTCCAGATCAAGGGTTAGCAAACAACAGCCCATGCGTCAAATTCATGCTGTAACCTGTCTTGTAAATAAAGCTTTATTGGAACACAGCCACGCTCATTTATTTACTTATTTGTCCATGGCTGCTTTGCTACAATGATAGACTCAAGAATTTGTGACAGAAACTATATGGCCTATAAAGCCTAAAATATTTGCTATCTTATGTTTTACAGAAAAAGTTGGCTAATTCCTGGTCTGGATCAAAAGGTCCTTGCATTGACCAACACAATGAATATAAAAAGACCCAGATCAAAGACATTACTGTGAATTTTCAGAACATCAGGGAGAAAGAGAAAATCCTAAAAGACTCCAGAGAGAAAAGGTCACGTACAAAGGATCAGAAATCCTGTGGGAGAGGGATTGAACTTCTTAAAAGCAACAGTGGAGGTTGCAAGAAAGTAGAGGGATGCCTTCTAGATACCACAGGAGAAACTACTTTCAATCTGGAATTCAATCCAGTGTAATGATAAGATAAGGTGTTTTCAGACAGTCATGACTCAAAAACTGTACTTTTTGTCCTCTGGGGGAGCTTATGCTTCAGCGCAATAAGGAAGTAAACCAAAACAGAAATAGACTCACAGACATAGAAAACAAATTCATGGTTACCAAAGGGGAAAATCCGGGGGGAAGGGGAAGGATAAATTAAGAGTTTGGGTTTAGCAGATACAAACTACTATATATAAAATAGATAAACAACGAGGACCTACTGTATACCACAGGAAACTATATTCAATATCTTGTAATAACCTATAATGGAAAAGAATATGAAAAAGAATATATATGTGTTTGTGTGTATATATATATTCAGTTTTATATCTATATATCTATATATCTGTATCTGAATCACTTTGCTGTATACCTGAAACTAACACAATATTGTAAAGCAACTACACTTAAAAAAAAAAAAAGGGGAGTAAACCAAGAAATAGGAAGCTATGGAGGCCTCCTTTATGGGACATAGTCACATGACAGCTGTGTTCCAGGTCTCTGACAGCAACCATTCCAGGCAGGAGCAGGGAGGGCTGGGGGTGGTGGGGAAGGGTCTCCAGGGAAAGAACAGGGAACTGATGGCTTGTCTATGTAAGGGAAGAAAACTTCCTTCTGCCTTCTAGTTTCTGTGGCTAGCCTGAGAATGAAACTGACATAAAGTAGTTTAACAGGAGAAAAATATACACATTTATTTAATATTCTTATGTGTACATGGGAGTCTTCAAAGCTTATATATCTCATATATCTTTTTATACAAAGAAGGATAAATTGTGGGGATATGACAAGACAAAGGGGCTTGGGCTTGGGGCAGTAAATTGTGGGAGAGTGGCTAGATTATATGGGGGGGAGGAACTAGTAAAAGATAATGGTTATTACAGTAGTTTTGTTTGCATGGGTCCATTCTGGCAGTGAGATTGTTCTTTTCTTCCTGCTATAGGAAGGGTATCTTTCTCATGGGAAACTTTGTGACCTACTTTTAGGAGGAAAGAGGGAACTAGCTGAGAGAGCCCCTTCCTGCAACTGCTACTTCTCAAACATTTTCAGCTCAAAATAATCCACATGCCAAAGCAGCAGATTCTGGGGTGGCATGTCCTGAACCCCTTCATCTATGTGTTGAACTACGTGGAGGAGAGCATTGAGAAGAGAGGTTTCACAGCGTGTTTGGGAATACTTGGCACTAGTTATACAGTAAACTAAGGATAGCACCAAAAAATGCAATCATTTCAGGAAAAACAAGGAGAAGTTGTATGAGAAAGAAAACGTAATTATGGTACTGACTCAGCAGTGAATAATATTTACATAATCTGCCAGGTGGCCCCAGTGGTTCCCCCTCCTGTTGGGTAGCCTGAGGAACACCTCCTTCTTGTCCCTACAGCCCTGGGGGAGGCAGGAGCTGGAATTACTGATCTCTGTTTGCTCTTTCAGCAGTTCTAACACTTTCTAACTAATATCCTATATTAAATTTCTCTCTATTAAATTATCTGGCATAGGTTTATGGAGTCTCACTGGTATGTAAGTCAATTAATAATGTCTAAAATGGATAAATCAAGAAACAGCAGTGTAAGCAACATGTTAAAAATATGGAAGTAAAGATTGGAAAAAAAAAAGACTTTAAATGTTTACCAGTGAACTTGGTGGGTGGGAGTAGGGGTAAGTGGGTTATATACTAGGGGTATCATTATTTTTAGAAACAGGTTAATGCCTTTTTGGTTCTGAAAGATAAGGTTTCGGTGTAGTCTTAGAGAGAGGATGACAAAATGGGTTTACCTGCTCTGCCCAAGCATAATTATTGAGCCCCTCCATCCACCTCTGCCACCCCCAGGCCGTCATTGTGGGAGCCAAGACTGGCGGTCTCTGCAGGGAGAGAGGAGATGGGAGAACCAGCCCTAAACACCTGCTGATCCATCAAGGTGTAACTGTAGAACCAGCCTAAACTGGCCCTATCCCGTTTCTAAAAAGATACTGAGTTGTTTTCCAGAGACAAGAAAACGGAGTCAGGCAGCTGGGGCATGCGCAGAGGAGAAAACTTTGCTCTCAAATAACAACCGGAACCAAAGTTTCTCCTACCACTGGCCTCCCACGGAACCAAAGGGCCAGGGCACGACCGGAACCTGAATGCCGGAACTCTTTCAGAAGAACGGAGTCCACAGTCCGGAAAGCTCCGTTGCTGAAGTCCCCTTTACCACATCTTACCGTAAACCTGCGAAGTTCCAAAGCCCTTCTGTCGAAACCTGCCCTGCTTACGTTTATCAGCCCTCCTCCCTTGATTCATAGAAGTTTGACTGAACCCAAGATCGGAGAGACAGATTTGAGCCCTGCCTCTTGTCTCCTTGCCGTTGTCCTCGAGATAAAGCTCTTTTCTCAGAAGTGGGTGCCGTCGTATTGGCTCCTACGCACCTAAGGCAGTGAGCCCTTGTAAGGAGAGCGTGGGAGAGAGCTGATCTAAAATGGGTCTCCTGTGGCAGGAATGGTCCAGAGGCTGGAGGAGCAGTAATGTTCACTGGACTTCCAAGGGACGTGTTTTCCTGAACAGCGCTATGATCCTCACGTGCTGTTTGGAGAAGGTGAGCTTCACCCACCATCTTTGTAGTAGAGATTTTAGGGGCACTGGAAGTGAAAGGGGCCAGTGTTCATGCATCCACATTTGGTGAATAAAACTCCAGAGGGGAGAGGATGTGCCTGGGGTGGAGCCCAGAGGGAGCTCATTGACAACCACCTTGAAAAGGGGAAGCACTAGCCTCCACCTGAATGCTCACAATTATGGAGGAGGGAGCTGGACCTCCTGCTCTTTGGTCTTTCATGGACTCACACATATTTACTGAAGGCCTTCTATGTACCAGGCCTTGTCTGGAGATACAGGGTAAATAGGACAAAATCCATACACTCGTTTATTTCTGTCAAATTGATCCCAGCGCCCTTTGTATTATTATCCTCTCTTTTAAAGATTGTCTTTCATCTAACTAACCTCACTGGCTAACTCCAGGCAACAAGCCCCCGAGGTGAGGTCATATAAGCCAGATACACTTCTCCTTGCCTCATTGATGATGACCATTTACTGGTGCTACTGCCAAGCATCCTGTCAAGCTCCGTATGTATCTTATTTAATATAATAACCTGGATCTGACTCTAAAGTCCTGTCCTGGGCCATTTACCATCACTCAGATACTAGTATCTTGAAAGCCTAATTTACTTTCCAAAAAAAGTACTTCAGATCCAGCCAATAGAGGATTACTTTAGGTTACAAATCTCTGGAGGAAGGATAGTTTTTAAATGTTCTTCCTCCCAGGAGAGTTCTTTTAATTGTCCTTTATATCAAGTATGCCAAGGCTTAAATAGCATTGTTAACATATTCTCTTTGAAATGTTAAGATGTTCCCTTTCAAACTTTGGTTCCCTGTTTAACCAAGTCTCTAGAAAGTGCTTTCTGGGCTGACATCAACCTTTAACATGTTAATACACAAGCAAGAACATCTTCAAACACAGACAATCAAATTTAATTCTTTACAGAGCTTCCTGAAGGTCAGAAAAGGGTAAGGGTCAGATAGAATATGACAAGATCTCATAGTCCCATGCCAAATGTCCCCATGTTTATTAGGATAGAACTTAGCCCATCTCTAGAGACTGTTGCAGAGATATTTCTGGGAGAAAGAAAAATGTTAATTTCTTATTCTAATTACCAGTATGCTCTTTAATTCAAATGAAATGCCTCCAGTGTGTACTGGATGCTTTATGAGAGCCATCACAGAGACTTACTCCAGCCCTCAAGGGATTTCCATCTAGGGAAGATAAGATACATTCTGGGGCCACAGAAGGCCAGACAATACAGAAGAGAAGGAGCAGGGTACTTGAAATTTTTTCCCCATGTCAGAGACCAAAGAGACTGAACCCTGATTAACCTCACTTTTCCTTTCTAGAGTCTCTTGCTGTGGGTAGAGATAGAGACTACAGAAGTAATGCTTCCTTTCTCTTGGTGTCAATATCAGACCTTTAATTGTCAGCAACTATAAGGTAAGTAAAAACCACACAGGCTCTTCCAGGCTTTCTTATAGCCAATCTCCTCTTCTGCCAAAGTATCTCGGGAATTTGTAAGGAAAATCAGATCTTTTTGAGCAACTATCCCTGTTCATTCTAAGCTGTGGGCAATGTTGAATAGGAAGATGGCCATGTGTGATAAGTCTAGATGATACTGGTTTGATCAAAGTCTCTTAGAATGAGTTGTTTTTCCTGCTGTGCTTTTCTGTGGTGGTGGATGGTGGCTTCAACTCTCAGCTGGGTACCAGTTTACTTGGATAGTCATGCTAGATATAGACATCAGTTAAGATAACTTTAGTAAGGCTGCAAGTAATAGAGAACCCTTGTTAAAGAATATACCGTTTTAAAAAAGATAAAATTATGATATCCATACAAATATAGAATGAACACATACCAACAATTTTATTTAACTCATTAATTAAAGAAGGAACAAGTGTGATAGTGTTGCCGAAAGATCAGCCCCCGTCCCTGATGAGCCAAGTAACCCAGAGACAAGGTCTTGGAGCTTAGAAGAAAAGAGGCAATTTTATTGCTTTGCTGGGCAAAGGGGACTCACAGCAGGCTAGTGCCTTCAAAAGTGTGAGCCCACCTTGGGGATGAGGTGGGATGGTTATATAGCCATAGCTCAAACCATAAAGCATTGATAACAAGCAACAGAATCATTTTCTCATCAGAAGACTTAGAATGGCGACATGATGCCTCCAGGTGACCAACTCTCTAGAGGCCAGCGGTTAGATCTCTTTATCTCTTAAGCACTCAAGGGGTGGTGGTCTTGGTAGTTTAGGCTATTTTGTAAGGTTACAGTCCTGTGACCTCTTTGGAGAAGGACTCAGAGACCAAGCTTGATTGTTACTTTCAGTTACTGGAATAAAGTAGAAACAGTAAGATCAATAGCTTTAGTTTTAACAATGGGCCTGGAACTGTGAGTAGCAACTGGTCAGTTGACCATTTTAAGGGCAAGCATAAGAATAAGCAATCTGTTAGCCTAAGTGCGGCCGTTTTATTATTCCTCCTTCAATAGTACAACCAATTTGAAGGGAACTCCAGAGAACAGAGACATATATAAACAATTGGGAGTACTAAAACAAATTTGCTTAGTAGAGCAAAACTGGGGGAGATCAGTTGCACCTCTGCCAATTCATTTGCATGTTTATGGACAAGAATCATTTGCGTTGCTGGCAGTTCCATATCATTTCCAGAGCTGTGAAATAGTTCACCAGCATTGAAAGGTGCAGAGGCCCCACAGACGCAGACAGCCTAGAAGAGCACAACAGGCGATGTGTGTTTCCTTTGAAGACAAGAGGTCTGTTTGAAAGTCTTTCAGATTTTTACCTTTACCCTACAGTGGCTTAAGTCAGGGAGACATTTATTTTTCTCACGTCTCAAGAAGCCTGGAAATAAGCAGCCCTAGGCTGATGTAGTGGTTTATAAGGCCATTAGATCCAGGCTCCTCCTACTTCCTATTTTCTATCCTTAGTTTCAACTCCATGGTTTCAAGATGGCTGCTGTGCTGCCAGGAAGCTCTTTCTGAATTCCAGGCAGAAAGAAGGGAAAGAGCCCCAGTCCTTCTCCTTTTGAGAATTTCTCTTCGTATTTGGAAACGGAAGACTTCTTAGGGATCTTATGGCTACCCCTAGCTATGAGGGAGATGGGGACATAAGTGTTCTGGCTTTTTGCATTCTCCAGCCAAGGAAAATGAGACAAAGGGGACACCCAGTGGTTTGGGGCAGCCAGTTTATATCTGCCATGTTGTACCTGTTGCCGAAAAATTGGCCTCTGCACCCCGAAAAGCGAGTTTAAACTTGGAGGCAGAGTTTTGGGAGCAAAGAAAAGAGCAGCTTTATTGCTTTGCCCGACAAAGGGAGTCACAGCAGGCTAATGCCTTAAAGACTGTGAGCCCATCTTGGGGTTGGGGTCTTGAGGTTTTAAGGAAAAACTGGAATGAGAGAAAAGGTGATAACAATCAGGGCGTTTTACAGAGTGTTACATTCCTCTTAACCTCAGTAAATCTTCAGGAGGAATTCCAGAGGGTCTGTCCATTCTGCGATTACCAGCCTATTATCTCCTTCCTGGAGCATAGCCTCTGGGTTAAAGGTATTCTCGGTAAAGAATGAGTCAGCAAACAATTTTGCATCAGGGGAGTCAGTTTGTTAGTTTGCTTTATAGTCCTTCATACCTAATCCCTTATCCATAGTTTCCTGAAAAGAGTTTCTTAACTTAATACTATACATAAACTTTTATTTAAGATTTTAAAGACATTTAGATTAGGCATATGCAGCTAATTACAAACATACTGGTAAGGCCACAAGACATTGAGCTTAAATATAAAAACTCAACCTGCTACTGGGAGGATTATGAACCAAAGCTCCAAGTTCAAAAAATTCCTCAGGCATGCAGAGTTGTTTAGAAAGTAAGACCCAAGAAGCTGGGTTGATAAATGGAAGGAATTTTCTTTCATTCTTTTTTATTTTTTTTTTAGGAGTGAAAATTGAATCTGAAAATCTGACAGCTAGAGGTTTTTGTGATGTGGGTGACGTTTGTAGCAATGGCATATTTGAAGTATTGTGTTTGATCCAGGAGGGTTATTCTTTTATGCTTTTTTCTCTTAGATTTTCTGTTCTTTTTGAGAGGGAAACAGGCCCAGATGTGTGAGCCATGTATTGCTAGGTAGTGCTTTGGAAAGCCTTACGTGTCATCTGACGTACTTTGTCTTCCACTTTGGAAATATAAGAATTCAGTTCTGTTGATACATGTCACTGCAACCTTCTACATTCAAATTTCTATTCTGTGATCCTGCCTCTGCTAACTATGAGTGCTTCAGGGGTACAGACAGTTAGATCCTCCTTGGGAACTGGTTTCTGTAACATTAGCCTAATGTCCCCCAAAATGTCTTAAATGACATTTGACATTTGGATGGAATTTTAGCCATGATTTACTGAGTGTTATTATTTAGATACCTAGGTACCTGGATATCTAACTCCACATGTTTTGTACCATCCATCCCATCTCACTCAGGGAGGTGGTAAGAACTGTCAAACCATGAAAGTCTAGATGTGCAACCCCATTCTGCCTTGAAGGCTGGACTGTCATCCCTGGCAATGTGACCTATGGGAGAAGAAAATTCTTCTTCTCTCTACCCATTTATCTCAGTCCATTCAAGCCGCTATAATGGAATACCATAGACTGTGTGGATTATAAACAACAGAAATTTATTTCTCACAGTTTTGGAGGCTGGGAATTCCCAGATTAGGGCACCAGCAGATTCAGTGTCTGGTGATGGCTGTCTTTTTGCTGTGTCCTCACTTGACAGAAGGGGTGGGGGATTTCTAGGATCTCTTTTATCAGAGCATTAATCTGATTCATGAAGGCTCTAGCCTCATGTTCTAGTCACCTCCCAAGGTCCCACCTCCTAATATGAATACATTGGGGGCTAGGTTTCAATATATTAATTTTGTGGGGACACAAACATTCAATCTATAGCACGCTGTTGGGTTCGTTGGCTGGGACCTTGTAATTAGATTGACAAAAGACTGATTAACAAGAGAAAACCAACAGAAGTTTATTCGCATCTGAATTGATCAAATATAAGTGAACACTTAGCAATGAGTAACTCAAGGAGTGGTTAGAACTTGGGTTTATATAGCATCTTAACAGAAGAACAGTAAGTTTTTAAAGAAGTGACAGGACAAAGGAAAAGGACTGTGAGTTTGTAGGGTGGTCATTGTGGGAAGGCAAATATGTGGAGAAACTAATGAAAGATAAGGGCTAGTATTCGCATGGTTTATGTATAGATTCCTCTGGAGCCATTCTGGGGCTGATGGGAGACACTAGAGTGTCTCTAGCATTGTCTCTGGTGATTAACTTCTGTCCTTCCTGGTAGAGAGGGGAGCAGTGGGGTGGAGGGCGAGGGCACCTTTACAAATTTTTGTCCTGCTTTTAGACAAATAGGGGGAGCATAGAGAGCTTTTCTTATATCTGCTTCTTCTCAGTTGCCCTCACTCAAGATGATCCTTATGACATAGTGGCATGTTTAGGGATGGCAGATTCTGTTGTACTTCAGACCCCTGATGCTACCAGTCGTCTCGTCTATGGAAGAGCCGCCGTCTTTGTCTTCGATGCTCTTTCTGCTACGTGAGCCTCACCAGCTCCCAGTTCTACTTTCCAGCTTTCTCATTTCCTTCTGTTTTTATATGGCTGCTTTCCTCCTCTCCTGTTTCCTGTGCCATTTCTTGTCTTAGTATCAGTTTTAGGGTTTTTTTAAGCCCCTCTCCCTTTTCTGGTCCCTCTTCTTGCTTTCAGTGAGAGGGCCTCTTCATTTCCTCTCAGAATGCAATCAGGAGAGCAGTCCCCTCAGGAAACAGACTCCCCATTTCTGGGAATCCCCGCTCTTTAGACGCAAAACAAGGTAGCTGTCTTCAAAACATCTACAGCCACAGCTGGTGGCTGAGGCCTGCAGGGCTCCAAACGCTGCAGTTCAAAGGCTGTCTGCTGATTAGCACCCTGAAGAGACCAGGGAAAAGAAACCTCAGGACTTTTAACCTTGTTTGTAGGGGTCAGAATACAAGTTTCCATTTGACAAATAATATGGGGCTGGAGAACTGTGGCCCTCTGGAAAATGTCAGCGCCAGTGTAACAACGGGAAAAGAGGAGCTGCTGACTGAAGTTAGAGCTGCGGTGGAGTTATGGCCAAGGGTTTTGCATCCATGAGTGTTTGATAAGAACAGGAAATCCTGACCATTCTCCATCTGAATGCAGACAGTGGAAAGAGAATTGAACCCAAACTCAGGAGATTTGATTCTAGTCTTGGCTTTGCCTCTGATAAGACTTGTGAGCTTACTTTTCATGACCTCTCTAGGCCTTACATTTTCAAAATGATTAAATCTGCAGTCTCCAGGATTGTTTCCAGCTCCCAAAACATGATTGTATAACATCTTTAGGGTTTCAGTTCTCAGTGAACTCTATCAACAGAACCCCACTGAAGAGTGAGAATGTTTTTTTAAGACTAGTGCTCATAAGGTATGTTTAACAGGACAGGCATTGAAAATGCAGTACAAGCATCACATTAAGGAGTAGCAGTGCTTTGTAGCCGGCCTCAAAAATGTTCTTTATTATTAAACCTGACTAGAATGTCCCATATTATTTCTCATGTCTCCTTGGAGAGAGAGATTCAAAGAACTTAAACAACATCAGAAAAGAAACTTTGAAAGACACAAGACAATAAAAAGGGCTTTATCTCCTATCTTTTATCCCCCCCCCAAATTAAAAAGTAGAGGTTTGTCTCTCAGATTGCAGACTCATGGTTGAAGCAAAAGTCGTGGACCAGCAAGAGTAGATGGTTTCACATTGTAGGCCAGTTTAGGGAAAGTTCAGTGAAAGAAAAGAGAGAGGTGTAATGATTATAGACTGTTGAAGCAGAGAATAGATGAAAATATGGCTCTAAACTACAAGATAAACAAAATGTTACTCCCTTTGACCCAAACAGTGCCATGGTTCCTGATAACACTAGCAGTAATAATTACAAGTACTAGCCAGGATTTATTGACAGCTGGTGGTGTGCTTTCCTCATTTGACCTTCACAGTTGCCCTATCAGGCAATTAATATCAGCTAATGTTATTATAAATGAAGGCACCAAGACTTAGGGAAGCTATTTGCCCAAGTTCTAAAAGTAAGTAAGTCAAGGCATCTGGATTTGCATCCAGATCTGTAGGTGGAGTTTGTAGCAATGGAATAATGGAAGCATTGTGTCTGATCCAGGAGGGTTCTCCTCAGTGGCTCCCAGATGCTTTGCTCTGGTGTCTCTAATTCTTGTCAGGTGCTTTGGCCTCTCAGCATGACTGCTGCCACTGCTACTCTAACTGCTAGTGCAGCATTTCCCAAATGTTTCTTCTGGAACCCTGAGGTTCCATGGAAATGCACTAGGGCTCTGGGAGGGGCACTTTGCAAGTGGAGGTAGCTTCTAGGGGCCTTTGTGAAGTCACTGGCTTCTCCCAGCCCCCCTTTTAAGTTGGCAAATAGTTTATTTTTTTCCCCTTGAGTTCAAATCTTTTTTTCTTTCCTTCTCCAAATTACATTCCCATCTTTCTTTCTAATGCAATTAGAGTCCGTTCCAGAAAGCTAAATCTGCAAGTGTTTCTGGCTAAAGCAGAAAATTCATTATATTTGTTTAATTGTAACCCAGATAGGAAACAACATGAGGATGAGATTTTTATTACAGTTCCCATCCAGCCTACATCTCTAATCCCATTGTCCCAGTTTTCCACTTACCACTGTGGAGTTGTGCAGAGCTCCCTCAGGAGGGGCTGGGCAGGGCAGGATGGAGGGTCTAGGATGATTGCCTGGGCAGGATGTGGGTGTTCTTGGTTCCTTGTTCATTGGCTCCATCAAAATGTTCTCCCCAGTTCCAAGAAATTGAGGGTTTCGACAGCATCCCTGTGGTTTTCTCCATTTTGAATGGAAACTTTTTAGCAACAAAGGAAGAAGAAATATGCTCCTCTCACAAGTATTTCCTGACTTATGTTTTGAATTTGAGTCTGCAAGTAGATGTGATGTGTACTAGCCAGACTCCCAAGGGCAAACATTTTAAATTCAAGTGTTCATAAGAAACAATTAGGTGACATAACCAAGCAGCAGTGCCCTGGGGCAGGGAATCACTAGGGATGGGTGAGAACTGTGGAGGGCACGTGGCCCTTCTTACTGGCAGCCCCTACTTAGCACCGGGTGATTATTGCCTCCTGGGATTGCAGGTTCAACATAACCAGATCTAACAATTTTTAAGGAGGAGCCAGAAACACAGACATTTACATGAAACCTCTCAATTTTTTTATGTTGGCAATTAATTTTACAAATTAAAAACTGTAGAAGAAAATCACTACATAGGATAAACAAAATACAGATTTAGCCCTCTAAGCTGCCATTTTGCAGTCTCTACTCTAGAGCTTGGTTGAGTGAGAGTAGAACCAGGATTTGGGTAAGGAGAAGAGAAAAGCATTAGACCTTTCAAAGTTTCAGAGGGCTTGGGGTGATGTTCTGGAGAGTCAGCCTTCTTCTACAATCTGAGTACAGAGTTGAAATAAATGCCTGACGTTCTTGAGCAGAGGCTGAAGGTTACATGCTGGGAGTGTTGTAGACAGAGCTTCTACTTGAACATGCTGATCTTTGGCTTTCTTTCAGCTTCAAAGGTCAGTGATTTTAGGCAACCAAGAATGAGATGCCATGAGAGTAAAATGGAGGGACAGATGACTTTGGTTGCAGGAATCACGGTTCACTGTGGCTGGTGCCATTGCTTAAAATGTCTTTAAAAAGGAGTTAGGGGTGGATTGCTGGAGACTCATCAGCTTGATGTTCAGATTTCTGAGAGGAAACTAATCAGAGCAAGAGAAACAACACAGCTGACGTAAAGGTCTGGCATTTAAACTGGGGCTTAAGGAAGAGGAAGGATTTGGACAGAAAAGAAGGATGGATGGGAAAAACAGTGATCTTGGAGGAAGCAGCAATGTGAGAAAGTTACAGAGATGGAATAAGCACCCCTAGACTAGGCAGCCTCCCATCGTCAGATTTGACCTTTCTTTCTTTCTTTTTCTTTCTTTCTACATTCTTTTCTATTGAAGTATAGTCAGTTTAAAATGTGTTAATTTCTGGAAACAGCATAATGTTTCCATCATTCATATATATATATATATATACACATATTCCTTTTCATATTCTTTTTCATTATAGGTTACTACAAGATACTGAATAATTCCTGTGCTGTACAGTAGGACCTTGTTGTTTATCTATTTTATATATAGTAGTTAGTATCTGCAAATCCTGAACTCCCAATTTATCCCTCCCTACTCTTTCCCCTTTGGTAACCATAAGATTGTTTTCTATGTCTGTGAGTCTGTTTCTGTTTTGTAAATAAGTTCACTTGTGTCTTTTTTTAGATTCCACATATAAGTGATACCATATGGTATTTTCCTTTCTCTTTCTGGCTTACTTCACTTAGAATGACGATCTCCAGGTCCATCCATGTTGCTGCAAGTGGCATTATTTTATTCTCCTTTCTTTATATAACATACTGGTATAGCTTCTAAGGGATTTGCAAATAATAACTCCTTTAATTCTTATGTCATTGCTGTGAGGTATTTATAACCAATAATAGTAATTATACTCATTTTATAGTTAAGGAAACTAGGCATTTTCTTATTTTAACTTTTTTTTTAGGTTCAAATAATGGCTGGGCACAAAACAATGATTCCTAAATGGAGGGAAGGCAGAACTTTTATTCCTGACAGCTCCCAAAGAGAGAAGTTCCCCACACAGAGCCACACAAGGGGTTGCACCAGGGGAAGGGTGACAGCAGGAACTGTTGGAGGTGGCTAATGTGTATGAGAAACAGTGTGAGGTTGGCCGGGTTTCACAGGCTTGTTGTGGACTGGGTATTTTTCGTGATTCTCCAAGTGCAAGGAAGAAAGGGCCATCCCTTGAAGTTTGCTACCAGGGCCTCTGGCAGTTGGATGTCTGTGTTGTAACCTGAAAGTGTTGGAGCACCGTAAGGGAAAGCAGTCAGAGTGTGCGTTTAGCAGACTGCAAAAGGGACTTGAAAGGTTTTTAGCCATGATCTCAAAACTGGGTCAAGACAGCACTTGTGAAATATGTTATCTTGAGGCACAGAGTGACCCAGTAACTTGCTAAGGTCACCACTAATAAGTGGCCGAGGCAGGACTTAGCACCAGGCAGTCTGATTCCAGAATCCATGTGAGAAAAGGCTAGAAAAGTCAGTGCAGGATCTGTCAAGGAGGCACTTGGCCTTTTATCTGCCAACAGATCTTTCTAATCTCTTTTTTTGGGTTGTCCCTTCTTCCTCTAAGATACATGTGGTCTGTGCTGGTCCTTTGGGGAGAGGCTGTGGATGTGATTTTTGCAGGCAAGAGGCAAAGAATGTTTACTGATTTGTCAGTAACCAACTTTTCTTTTTTTTACTTTTTTTTTTTTCCTGTTATTGTTGAAGGGGGAGGTAATTAGGTTTATTTATTTATTTATTTTTAGAGGACGTGCTGGGGATTGAACCCATGACCTCATGCATGTTAGGCATGCACTCTACCACTTGAACTATACCCTCCCCTTGTCAGTAGCCACCTTTTAAAATTCCTGTTTAGAACATTTGAAGTACATATCTGGGCAAAGACGAATAATTTGGAGGATTGGACCTCTCCTTCTGTTTTCTTTTGTGGGCCTTCTCCCCCTCTGTTTTTGAACTGAGATTGGATCCATTGAATGAATGATGACAAATGCAAGCCTCTTTGTTTAACTTCCTCTGACTATGCTAAACTCCTATATTCATGTTGAACCAATAAAGCATTGGGTGTTATGGAATCATCTGTTTGTTTAATTTTTGTCTTTAGAAAAACTAGCTAAGAGTTGTGAGGGGGGGAGCCGTGAAACAGAGAAAATTCTCAGTGCAGCCCTGCCTGGGGAAGTGGCTTTTGTGCCTTCTGTTTCCTCATTACTGTGGTGTGCTGGTTAAGCATTTGAAAGCACAGCACTCCTTGGGCTCTGAAAGGCTAATTGCTGGCTCATTGCTCTTTAA